TCCTTCCGAGGAGTGGCTGGTGGGTTTGAACCGCCAGCCGTCTGGTTAGCAGGCAAGTGTCTTAGCCACTATGCTACCAGAGCTCCTTGTAAAAATACTACATGTAGAACGTTTTTCTTTACCTATTCATTTTCCCAAGGAGCTCTGGTAGGATAGTGCCTAAGGCACTTGACTGCTAACCAGAAGGCTAGTGGTTCAAACCCAGTAGCCACTCCTCAGAAGGAAGATGGGGCCATCTACTTCTGTAGTGATACTGCCTTGGAAACCCAAGGAGGGGTTGCTTTGAGTCGGGTCCGACTCGACAGCACATAACAACAACAACATATATCGAATAGGGAGCTCTGGTAGCATAGTGCCTAAGGCGTCTGACTGCTAACCAGAAGGCTGGCAGTTCAAACCCACCAGCCACTCCCTGGAAGGAAGATTAGACAAACTACTTCCGCAGTGATACTGCCTCGGAAACCCAAGGAGGGGTCTCTGTGAGCTGGATCCCATTCAACGGCAGTGAGTTTGGTTTTTGTTCGGTACATATTGAATGGGGTATAAGAAATTGTTTACAGTATTATTTTAGACTATAACATAAAAACTAATAACCAGGATTTATTACTGCTTTTCTTTCACTGAACGATGGACCAAATATAGTATTACAGCAAAAACACTTGGATGTCAAGTCAGTAGTTATTTACGTCATACTTTTAGCAAAAAAAAAATCACTGAAATTCTACTAATGTTTTCTAAGCATTTAATTGCCATTACTTGGTGTTGTCTAAGCGCTTGGCTGCTAACGGAAAGGTTAGTGGTTTGAACCCACCAGCTGCTCTGTGGGAGAAAGATAAGATATGCAAGCCTGCTTCCATAAAGATTTATAGCCTTGGAAACCCTTTGGGGCAATCCACTCAGTCCTATGGGGTCACCCTGAGATAGAATCAACATGACAGCAATGGATTTGGTTTTCGGTTTTGAAGGTGTTTTCTGTTCCCCTGGCACACTGGCCTCCTACTCCCTGACAACCTTGCTTGAAGTCCTCTGTACTTTTCTCTTGCTTCTTCCTGGAAAACTGCCCTTCCCAACTCTCCTAGGCTTGCTTGCTCATTTCCCTAGGCCTCTGCTCAAATTCCACCTCTGCAGTGACAACTTCCCAGACAACCTCATCTGATGCAAATCTATCCTCAATACCCATTAATTTGCTTTATTTTTCTGTACACCAGTAGTCTTCAAGTGACTTACACTGTATATTTGTAAGCTTCAAGAAAGCAGGGACTTGTTACTCATGGCTGTGTATTCCGTTTTTAGAATGGTAGCTATGACAAAGGAGGCATTCAAAAATATGTGTTAAATGAATGAATAAAAAAGATAGGTTGGAAAAACTAATTATGATCCACCCACCCTTCTCCTCTGAAGCCTTGTAAGGTATCTATTTTGGTGGTACCTTCTTTTTATTTATGAGATGGGCCAACTAGTTACTTTCATTATCTTTAGTTAAATGTTTCTATTTATGAAACAAATTCTTCTAATGAAAAGCCTGATACTCCAACAGAAGAAAAGTCAGAAATAGAATTCTTCAACTTGGTTATTGTTAGTTGCAGTCCAGTTGATTCCAACTATGGTGACCCCATGTGTGCAGAGTAGAACTCCTTCATAGAGGTTTCAAGGCTGTCTATTTTTGGAAACATATCTCTAGGGCTGTCTTCCCAGGCACCTTTGGGAGGGTTCAATCCCCTAACCTTTTAGCTAGCAGTAGAGCATTCACTCATTTGTGCCACTCAGGGACTCCAATTCAGTGATAAAGCTCCTGAAAGACTGTAAATTATTTCTTTGTCTAGTTTAATTTTTCAAAGATGGACTCTTTCATAAAAGGAGAAAAACCACATACACACACACACAGACACAAATCAAACCCTCTGCCCTTGAGTCATTGTTGTGACTCACAGTGACCCTATAGGACAGAGTAGAACTGCCTCAATAGGGTTTCCAAAGCTGTAAATAGATTTACAACTGCTTCATCTTTTTCCTGCAGAGTGCCAATCTTCTGATTAGAGCCAAATGCTTTAACTACTGCACTACCAGAACTCCTTATTTAAACTGTTATTAAAGTTGTAATTTTATAGTTAAATTGTTAACTCTTTGTTTGAAAAAAATACACACACACACACACACACACACAGTTTAAGTACTATTTTAACAAAGTGAGTTAATTTCAGTTACTTGTGCCTGATTAATGACTTTAACATTTAAATAATCGTAAGCAGGTTTTGAATTTAACACCTCATAGACCTGAAAGAGTCCTCAAGAAGGAAAGTTGCCTTTGCATCTCAGCAAGTTCTTCTCTGTTCATGAAAACAGAATTAACAAAGACCAGTAGGAAACTTCCCCCTAACTCATCTTAAATTCCAAAGAATCCCCAGTGGTAAAGGGCTGATTAAAGACATTTGATTTTTAAGTTTTTTTAAAAAAAGTTTTTAAAGAATAAACCTGGCAGCTCAATTCCCAAAAATTATTTTTATAAATTATCCAGTATCATTTTATATTGACACAGAAACTAGTGAACAAGAGGCTCCTTTAAATTGTTTTATTTGTTTATAATATTTACTGACTCATCATTCTTATAGAACACAGATTTCAATCTTTTTGTGGAGTCTTGTGTCTTTATAAGCTACATTTTAAATACACTGTGTTTTTACCATTAAGACAATCTTCGCAACACTAAATTAAAATTATGTACTTTTGTGTGGAAAGTAATTTTAACTTCATGCATCTTGAGATCCAGATAAATGAGTATTCCCTCCTAATACAAAATACAATACAATCTGCGAATCTTTGTTAGGTATAGGGAAGCAATGGTTATATATGACTACATAAGTACTGATTTTTAGAAGAAATTGATCCTTCAAAGAATTAAGCTACAAAAACAGAAAACAAGTATGAATTGATTACCTTCTCAGTGCCTCTTTTCTTTTCCCGAGGCTGATTAAGTTTGGCCTGCCTGTCTACCAAAATCTTCTGCCAATACCTCTGTTCATGATCACCTTAAAAATAAGCAAGTACATTAGTAATAGGTTAATCATGGAACACAAAGATACAAATGAAGAAACATTTTCAAGCCATTACATTCTTAGTAATAGAGCTTGAGTAAGTAGTTTATTATATTTAGCATATACAAATTAGGGTAGCTCTAATTGCTCTGGTGGTGTAGTCTCCTCAGGCGTTTGTCTGTTAACCAGAAGACCTGTGGTTCAAATTCACCAGCCACTCCTCAGAATGAAGACTGGGCAATCTACTTCTGTGTAGAGATTCAGCCTCAGAAACCCAAGGAGGGGTTGCTATGAGTTGGAATTGACTCGATGGCAGTTGAGTTTAGTTTTTCATGCATATTAGAGCATGCAAACATGCCAAAGTCAGAAAATACAAGACAGTAAAAATTGTTGAAAAAGAAGTTTCTATGAATATTACCAGAAAGGACCTCCAATTTCCAGCTGTGTTTCTTTTTAATTTCTGTGCATGCATTCATTACTGCTTGAGCATCCTCAGGAGTCTTAAATCTTACATGGCATTCTGTATCTCCTTCTAACAAATCAACATATACAACTTCTGAGATTGCTGCCAAAGTGTCCTGTATTAGAGTTCAGCAGAAACACTTAAATAATTATAAGGTTTCATAGTAATTGTAAAATTATCCTAATGATTGTATCAGAATGTACTATCTAAGTAAGCCATTATGAAACATAAATATAAACCCTACATCAAACATTTTAGAAAACTACACAGAAATACTCTTAAAAATACGCTTGGTCAAAGAAAAGACTATTTAATATCAAAAGAAAAGAATCTATTTAATATCAACTTTAATCATAATTTACTTTCAATGATTTTTGGTTAAACTTTAAAATCTGAATTAGAATGTACATATTCCATAAAGACAATATATTCGTAGCACAAAATGTACAAATGCTACACAGTCTCCTCCCCAAGAATTACTGGTCCTGGAGTAGTAAAAACTGTGGATGTACTATTCTGACCCAGGACAACCCCTTGTACTCAGAGCAGAACTGCTCCATTGGGTTTTAAAGGCTGTGATCTTTACCTACCTGTATTCTGAGGTGCCTTTGATTAGGTTGCAACTGCCAACCTTTTGTTAGTAGTCAGGCACTTAAACTTACCTGTACAAAAATCACTTAATACTTAAAATATACATAAAAGTATTCAACCTTTTATAACAAGTCATGAAAAAAAGCTTATTAAAACCTACCAAAATTCTAAATTCCCTAGTAGATCAAGCAGAATACAGTTTAAGAGGTATTATTACCTTCTTAAAAAGTATCTGGGAACCTCTTTTCTAAACAAGTTGCCATCCAGCAAGGAAATTTTACCTATAATGCCTGCAGTGATGGCAAATTAACAAGATTCTTGCATTCCTAATGCTTTTTTTTTCACAGCAGGTTCTAAAGAGTATACAAAGCCTTTATGCAAGAATGTTACAAATTCTTAAATTCATTAACTTCCATTCATAGGCTAAAAAAAAAACCACACCTACTGGAGATTCCCTACTGAAAAAAGGAGTCTTACTCATTTCTCCTTTTAGGTTTTTACTCTTTTCCAAGATACCATTAAATTACTTTTAGATGTGGAATTTTTAGGTCTTTGAATTATGGAAAAAAAAAAAAACCTATTTATTATGAAACAAGAAATGTGTATTTAGTTAATAATAAGACTGTCCAGGAAAAATCTGCCTCTAGAAGACAGGGACTAGGTTTCAAATCATCTCAGCACTATGCTACAGCATCAGAAAACAGGCACATAGTAAATGTTAGCTAAATCTATATATTAAAAGAAAAAAAAGTAATTAACTGGAGAAAATAATACTTGACAATCCTTCCAATTTCTCTATTTAATTAATATTAATATTAAATTTACAGAAAAAATAAAAAAAATCAGTATTAAACTGATGAAATTTGAATATATTCACTAGGAATAGTCAAGAGTTTTCTAAAGGATTTATGAGACAGATTACATTGATACAACTCAAAGATATTTACTAAATCCATTATGTCAGGCTAATCTCCCGCTTTAAAACCCTTCTTAGAATGACAAATTAGCCTGGTAATCACATGGGCAAGTCACAGACAGCAGTAACCACCATCATAGATCAGTTTTTGTTCCAGCAAAATATAAGCAACTACTGTATTGATTTATGGAGTTATTTTGGAATGAAAAAATAATCTGTAATTGATGTAATTACTCTCTAGATAATAAAACCTCTTTGAGGAATATAATGAAACCTATGTCAGTGATTCCAAGTAACTAAAGTTTTTACTAATTTTTCATTAAATCTTTTGCATTGATATCTCTCAGTTTTTTAGCCCAAACCCTGAAATGCAAACTTGTGGAACTGGTCAAATTCCCAATATGGGATAAAGAATTCAAAATTTGTTTTATTGACAGCTAGAGGATTTTAGGATAGGGTTTAAGATAAAAAGCGCATGCAGAAGATTACAATGGGCAAAAACCTCAATGTTTACGTTTAAAAATGTGACTGGACTATGCAAACCCAAACCAACATGATATATTGGGCTATCTCAATATTAAAGAATTGAAAAATTTTTTTGAATGATATAGATGAACATTCTACATGGTTACAAAATAAAGTGTCTCACATGCAACAAGGTTAAGGGTATTCTTACATAAAGGAATACAATACAATAAGAAAGAAGTATCACTGTTTATGCAAAGGACGACAGAAGATAAATCGTACACAGTGAAGAAATTTTAGAACATTATACATATAGTCTGAATTATACAGAAGAATGGATTTGTTTGTATATGAATATAAAACTTTTGTAGTTTTTAAAAATATTTTTTCATTTTTTGTTAATTTTTCCAAAAAAGTCTGGGTAATGCTGTTTAGGAACTATTAACATGGACTGAAAACAATTTACCAGAAACTAAAAAGTCAAAAGAAATTGAAGCCATTTTCCTCCAAAAAAAATCCTGCATTTCTTTCAGGAAATTATTTCTAATTTTAAATAAGATTAACAGACAAAAATAAATACATGTTAAGTGATAAATACGTATAATACCCTGTTTATGTCAAAAGAGTAGTTTTGCCGTTGTTTCAAAGTCATTACATAAATCTTCTAAGAATTTATTGAAAGAATTCTACTCAACATTAATAAATTCTCTAGTGTGCTCCCAAATCAGACAGTATCAAATGATTACAATTTAAAAATGTCAGATCAACTATAATGTTAATATCATCAAAAAAATTTGGTGTTTTTCTAAAACCTATTTTCACTGAAAATAGAAAAATGTCCCCTAAAAAATATGGAGAAAGCATTTTACTATATGCTTTAGTTATAAATGTGATTATATTTCTTCATTCAAATACATGACAGCTAACAATTACAGGCATCAATAGATACAAGCATAAATTGTAATTTCCTGCAGAAAAGGATGTTTAAATTATATTCACTGTAAATCTGATCCACTGAGAAATTTTGGTGTTTAAATTTTGCTTCAAGTTAAACCTCAGAGTTACTACAGAAACAAAAAGCTACTAGAAGTTTACTAGAGGTAAAAATTCTAATTTGATTTGCTTCATTTTTACATATTCAAAACATTTTCACACAGGAGAGTTACTCAGAGGACAGAGTGACTGCTGCCCTGGGGGCTCAAAGGCTTTACCCGGACTTGTTTCCTGCCAGGTAGCACCTCCACACTAATGATCTTCACAATCACTCCACCCACAAACTGTGGTCCCAACGCATTAACCTCCTGGGGGCGACATTCTTCATTGTTTGCTGTTGATTTGAAAAGGAAAAGACCAGAAATAAATCTCTTACATTTAACAATTTAACACTTTGGGGGACTACTTTAGAATAAAAACAATGAATAATTACTTGATTGCTTAGGTAGATTTAAATAAATAATGGTATTATATTTTACCGTTCATTTCTGATTACAAAGAAATAAGATAATTTTGTTACTCTAAATACAAAATGTTGGAAGAACCTTCCTAAACTCACTCTCTCACCGCAGAAAACGGCCATTTTCCTTGAACCAAGTAAAAAATAAGTTAACAGGCATCAGATACTATCATAATAAATATTACTTTATGACTCAAAATATTTATTTTGACAATTTATAAGAACTTGAAACGTATCCTAACATAGAAGAATTAACAAGAATCTTGCATGTGGTTCACGCTACGGGATTGAAATACATATATGAGGAATCTTTATGTCTACAAATTTCTTCATCCATAACCAAGGCAATAATTAAATACTTATTAAATTTGATTAATAATAATAACTACAAAGAAAACTGATGTGTAATTAAATTAAAAGAGAGACATTTAAAATTTGCCCTTTAAAGGTTTTAATATGAAGAAATAATACATCTGGTCATCTTAACAAATTTATTTTTAAAATAATTTTATAAGAACATTTTTAAAACTAATGTTTCTTATAATAACTTAGAAATACCACTTAGTACACAACTACTATATATTACAATAAAAACTATCACAGACATCCTTACTTTTTTCGTTTTTCTTTCCAGACTTAGTAGAGTCGCCATGCTCTGTTTCCATTTCTGACTCTGATTTTATTTGGGATATTGTTTTTTTTAAAGAAGCCATGCTAGCTTTTTGCAGAGCTAAGTACTCTTTTTTCAAATCCATCCATTCACTCCTGTAAACACACACACACACACAAAAATGCACTATTAAAATATTAACAACAGACGCCTAAAACAGCACCTAAGAAAACATTCAACCATATACATTCACAGTAACTTGCAACCACTCCTTTCCCCAAGTTTTCTTCCTTTAAATCCACACACTAAAGTTATTTCCTGGGTTCTAAATCCATCTAACTTGTTTGCTTAGGAGAGTTCTGCTTTTCTCAACATTTAGATGAAATGTTTTAAACTTGCAAATTAAATTCCTGCATGTGCTTCAAATATTGGAATTTGTGGAAGTCAAATTTATAATTATTTCATTAATTAGTCAATAAAATTCACTAGAATCATTACTCAGCATTGAGGGAAAAATGAGAAATTAAAATTTAGAGATTATTTGTGAAATACCTTTCAATTAAAGATAACATCCCTCTGTATTTACTTGAATCAAAAGGAATTTCCAAAAAGAAAAAAACACCCCATGGAAGTAATTTATTTATTTACATGCATTTAACATGTGGATGTTTCTGCAAACAGCTAGAGCTCCCCCAGATAGAAAACACAATGCCTCCACTGGCTCCATGGGAGCACTCATTGTTACCCTAATCTCTGCCATCAAACAAGCAGATAGGGAATTTTTTAAAAGAGGAGGATATCTTGTGGTAATGGTTTTAGCTGTTAACATTGACATCTGTATACTTCAAAAAAAAAAAAGTATCCAGACCCACCCAGGATCGTACATTCCCTGAGAGCTGATACATTAAAATAACAAAAGTCTCTTGTAATGATTCTCTTGAGATAAAAAGGCAAAAGGAATTCAGGAGTTGGAAATAGTATAAATACAAGTGCCTGAAGGCCTTGCCGTTTACCTATCTGGCCTGGAACCAAGCTGTTTGGAAACTAGTTCAGGAAGGTGAAAGACGCTTCAGAAAGGTATGTTTTTTGCTTTTTCTTGCTAGCTGCGTGGATTGCCTGTGGATTGCCTTCGACTTTAACAGGGAAGTTCTTTCTGCTACTTTTGAAAAGTAAGTGCTTCCTTGTTTTAGTAGAAGTGAATTCAACTGACCTAGGAATAAAACCGAACCATATTTCCTATTCCAACTATTTTTATAGGTCTAAAGGATCCCCTTTGCTTTAACATGGGGGTACCTGCTGTATAAAATAAAAGTAAGTGCTTCCATGTTTCAGTGGAGGTGTCTCCAAAACGACACTCTTGTACTTCTGTTTGATGAAAAGACTTTGACTTTTAGTTCCAACTTAAGGATATTCTTGATTTTCAAGTTTTTCAAGACTGGGCTCCCCACCACTTAAACGTGGATGTACTTGCTTTGAAACTAAAAAAGTAAGTGCTTCCATGTTTTGGTGATGGTGAGTCTTTTACTTTTCTGCATGACTTCGAAGACCACTGATTGAGCTTGTCAATGATTTATGTTTTAAAAAGTTAAAATAGTAAAGGGACCCCCTCTACTTTAACATGGAGGCACTTGCTGTGTCATTTAAAAATAAGTGCTTCCATGTTTGAGTGTGGTGAATCCTTACTTGAATCTTCAACTATTTTGTATCAGGAGCACAAGTATTGGTTACAGCCACTACTGTTGCTAATATGCAACTCTGTTCAATATAAACTGGAATTGCACTTTAGCAATGGTGATGGATTGTATACCTATTGCCAACAACAGTAACATTCAAGCCAGACTTACTTTGATAGTACTCTTAACGGTATAACCTCTTCTCCCATTTTATGTCTCTCTTTATGTTTTTTCTTATGCTTCCTTTTTGCTTTTAAGAGCGATC